AATTTCTTTTTTTAAAAAAGAAAAATGTTTCTCTGTATTAGGGAGTTATCAAGTAATGTTGTTTCAGCTTGGTGGATTGATTTCTTCTCTTTTAAGTGGAGTTGTTTCTGATCAGCTTATCAATAAGGTATGTTTTTTATTTTGTCTTGTTTGATTTTATTTTTATTTTATTTTGACTATTTGTTTTTATTTTTGTTTTTATTACAGCTGTAAACTTATAAAGCTTACACAAATGTATAAGCAGAGCTTTATACATTTAAAAAGTTGTACATATTTAAAAACCTTTTTCTTTAAAATAAAAAGTTATTAAAGTATTGGGCCTTTTGAATAATGCGTGTTATTGTTTAAGCTAACCTAACAAAGACATATTTTTGACGTAAGTGTTTAAAAAACATCTAAGACGCCTTTTAGACGTATTGCATTTGCTGGAAAAATTGTTTTTACAATTTTGATAGTGTTTTGATTGCAAAAGTAAATGATCAGTTGAAAGTTAAAGTATACTTTCCATTATAAATTATTTTAGTTTAAAGCGTCGAAAAGTTCACCTCGCTTGCCAGTTGTTATCTTTTGTTCCATGTTTGTTCTTTTATGGCTTTTAGTTCTTCAAACATCTAATAATATGGTAAGTTATTTATGGTTTCAATTTATGTATTTTTCAAAAGGTGGTAAAGTCGATTGTTAATTAAATAATTTTTATTAAGGTTCTTTTAACATTAACAAGTTTTTTTCTTGGGTTTTCTTGTTTTGGTCCACACACATTATTTGGTTTATTGGTGATGGAAAATGCTCCTTCTGGTTTAAGTGGCACCTCTCATGCGCTAGCCTCAGCGATATCATCTGGTAAATTAAATTAAAAATTTTATTGCTTATGGTTTTTTAAATTGTAAATTTCTTTTTTTTTAAGCAGTTTGTGTAAATTTTTAGCTGGTGGTGTTCTAGCTGGTGCACCTCTAAGCTACCTCATTGATAATTTTGGGTGGCAAATAGTTTTTATTGTTCTTGCTGCTGTATCAATCGGAGTTACCTCACTCCTTTTTGTTGTAGTTGTTAGAAGTCCACGCAAAATACATGATTAAGGATTATTTCAAGACAAGGCTTTATTGTTTAAATATATTGTTAGATTGCCGTTTGTTGTTATTATCTTGATCATATTTAAGTTGATTTTTTTTTTAATTAAAAAAAAAAAAAAAAAACTAATTTCGTGCAATATGGAGAAATGTTATTAAATACATTGCCATTATCTCAAAAAAGCATCTGTTAAAGTCAGACTTTTGGTTGAAATAATTTTTTTGGAACTACTCACTGGCTCAAAGTAATATTATGTAGGCGAGCTAGGAGAGTGGTTCATTTGAAACTAATTTTATGAAAATTGATAGAATTATTGTGTTTTGACAACTATATATAATTAATATACGTCAGAACCGATTAGAACTCGGATCAGTAGTAAATTAAGGAACTTTTTCAAAAGATTTTAACTAAATTCGCTTAACTAAAAACGTTCATTTTTTACGTTAACGAAACTTGTCAAAAATATATTCCGTGTAATAGCTCGAAAAACGGGACTCGTAAAAGAATTTTTACGTGTCCCGTAATTTTTACGCAGAATTTGTGGAGATTTGATCCAGACTTGTAAGTTATTAAACAAGATGGAAAATATGGAATTGATAAACGGTTTCAAGCCAAATGATTTTCATTTATCGAGAGGAAACGGTGTCAGGTTTGAACGCGAAAAAACAAAGTGCAGCTTAAGACACTCATTCTTTACTAACAGAATAACAAAAACAATAAACTACCAAGAGAAGTGGTTAATGTAAAATCAGTAAACAGTTTTAAAGCACAATTAGGCAATAGGCTCCTTTTAAATTATTTGTGAGACGGCTGTCTAATTGTGATATTAATACACACACTCGTCGTCTTCGAGCGGCTACAGCATCTACTATTACTATTACTACTACTATTACTACTATAAATTAAAATTAAAGCGGGATTGATCAAAAGACTCCAAAACTGTGTTCTTTAGATACACTATTACGGTTGTAAAAAGGTTTTGAAAATTATATATAAAAAAAAAATGTTTCTTTATATATTATAAAAACCTTAACCAAAAAAATTATAACATTTAAAGATTTTGTTTGGACATAATATGCTGACAAAACCATGCATTAAAAGTAATCGAATATTTTGTAAATCGCCTTAACTACACCAAGTAATAAAATAATTTTCTATTAAACACTGCGTAATTTTCATAATTTAAAGTTCCACGTTTAAAAAAATTATCCAATGGTGTTGTTTTAAATCGTCATAAGCAATTGAAGCATCGTAAATAAAAGATGGAAGTTTAAAAATTCGTAAATATTTAGAGATAAAAATATTTAGAGTTAGTTTATTGTTCTTTTTTTGTTGCGCTTTTTGAACGAGTAATAATAAATTTCTAGATTAGAATCGAATTAATATATGTCTAGTTAAGAATCGGTAGCATTTTTGCCGAATTTATAAAAATAATTTCTATATTTAGAATATCGCTATTTGCTTTTAAATCTAGCAAAAATACTCTAACACAAAATAAAAGCCTAGAGGGAATTGAATAAGTGCCTGGCCTAGAGTTGTTAACCGTAAGATTTCGTATAATTCCGGAAAAATAAAATTCTTTCGGAAAAATATTGAGAATCAGGAAATTTTTTTTTTTTCGTACCGAATTTTACAAAACAAAAAAAACCGTCGATGTTCATTTCGCAAATGCTACTTCCAAAATGTAGCCTTTCGCATATTGAATTACGAAATGACTTATTTTGCTTCATTGCGAAAGAAGCGCTTATTTAAGTCTAAATAAACCATCTACCGGACAATTTAGTGCGATATTTTTTGTTAAGTAATCCACAGTTTCCATCAGGTTTATCATGCATGATCTAGTTTTAACAAATCCATGTTGATACTTTGATAAAAAAAATTTTGTTCGTAAAATAAATGGACACTACTGAAGTAAGCAGTGAAACGACAAATTAGCCTTCGCTCATGGGGAATTTGGGTGATTTAATTGATAATCTTAAAGATTGTTATGACATTTATTAAAAAAGAATTTAAAAAAGAATTAATAGATGAAAAATTCATTGCAATTGAAATTTTAAATGCAACAAGGTCTGTGTTGAAAATGTCCAAAAACGTTTTGGAAATGGGAAACGCTTTTATAAGAAAACTCGAAATCAAAACTCAAAATGTTATAATTGACAAATCAGATATATCAGCATTGATAACTCATGACCCAGGTTTACGTCCACATACAATTACTGATAATCAAAAATTGTATTTACTCCAGTTAGGGCTACACCAAAAAAAACTTGCTAGTTTCCGAATTGACTGTAAAAATAGATTTAATCCCCAATGGTACAAAGAGTTTGATCATTTAGATTATAGCACCAAAAAGGATGTTGGAAAGAAGAGAAAAACTAAAGATACTTGGATAAATGTTGGGGTAAGATCTTGGTTCAAAATAAAAAGCTATAGGAAAAACAAACTTGGGAAGCTTCAGACGCACATTAATTTTCAAGCACATAAAGATGCATTAAGTGAATATTGTCACTTTCTTATGAAAAAGGGACATATTGATCACCTTATTAATAAATAAGAGACTTGCTCTGATAGAAGAACAAAAAATAGAGATGCACAATAGAAAAACTGTCAAAATTCTTTTCAATACATGCAAAACTTTGGGAAGCCAAGGGCTGGTGTTTCGAGAATTTGACAGTGTTCACCAAGGTAACTTTGTTGCAGTAGTGAATCTCATCTCTCGCCACAATCCCACGCTAAAAGCCTGGATTGAAGATGGAGCCCTTCTTCCATATAGACTTACATACACAAATCCATCATCTTAAAATAAAATGATTAGTTTAATTTCAACTGAATTGAAGAGTCAGATTATTGATGAAATTGACAGCTCCAATTTTTTTTCTGTGATGGCCGACACTACTCCCGATATGTCACACAAGGACATAATGAGTATAGTTGTAAGAACGGACAGTGAAACGGTGAGATTTTGAAAAGGCTTTTAAAATCAGTCGAATGCACTGATAAGACTGGAAAAGGGATGGCTGAGATAATGGATGAGACTGGAAAAAGGATGGCTAAGCTAATTTTTTCTTCTTTCAGCTGTATGACGAGTTCAATGTCTGGATAATTTAAAGGAGTACAAAAGTATGTAACAAAAGAAGTTGGCCATAATGTGCCCTACATACCTTCTCAAGACCACAGAACAAACACTGCTCTTTAACATAAGAAAGTTTGTGAAGTCCTCGAACAGTTGCATGTTTTCTTTACATCAAGCACAAAAAGATTTAGTCATTTAAAAGAAAAACTTGAAGACATTGACAATTGAGAATTTTATGGTGATTAGAATCGTATCAAAACATAGGTCTGAAAATCAACTGTTTAAGACATGTACTAGAAAAAATCTGCGCGTGTTCTGATGTGGTGTTTACGGAAACCGTGCATCATTTTAAATAGCTAATTGTTTTAAAATGTCATTGTAATAGTGTTATTCAAAATTTCAACAACTCTGTTATCAAAACATTTAGTTTTAATTGAAATGTCATCAAATCAAGATGAGAAGCGAGAAAAAATTTTGCATTTTCTTGTTGAAAATCCTGGCGTATCAAACAAAACAATTTTTAAAGAGTTGCAGATTACTTGAGAACAGTGCAGAGCGTTGTGAAACAATTTAAGGACACTGATACAACCAAAAGGAAATCAGGAAGTGGAAGAAAAAAATGTTTTATTAGAAGAGATCTTGGACGAAAGAAGTGAAAGATGCCCTAAACAGAAAACCTGAGATTTCTATTTGAACTTTAGCAAATAAATTTAAAACAAGTGCTTTCACTATACAAAGAGTAAAGAGAAATTGTTACTATAAATCTTATAAAAAGAAAAAGGTTTCTCGTCGTGAAAAAAGCAAAAAAAAGTCGCAATTCGTATTTAATTATCGCAATTAATTATTCAAGGCTGCTCTATAAAAAATTGTGTGTTAAAAAATCTTGTTTGATTATTGACGATGAAACTTATTGTGCTGCATATTTCCGATCTCTTCCAGGACACCAATATTATTCAGCAATTAACAGCAATTAACAACTAATCGCAAGAAACTGAATTCCAATTATAAATGCATAGGAATGCAAAAATTTGCTAAAAAATTCTTACTTTGGCAAGCAAGTTGTGAATGTGGTGAAAGAAGCTCTTGTTTTGTGACTGCGAGAACAATTAATACCAAAATATACATAAAAGAATGCCTCAAGAAACACCGTTTTTAAGAACACACACGGGTAACCCGTTATTTTGACCCGATTTAGATCATGTCACTACCTGGGACAACTTTAAACTGGCTTAGAGAACATAAAGTAGATTTCGTTGAAAAACACTGCAACCCACCAAATTGTTCCGAACTACGTCCTATCAAAAGATATTGGGCTCTTGTCAAAAGAAAACTAAGGTTTAATGTAAAAGGAGCCAAAAACATTAAAGACTTCAATAATAAATGGATTAGATCTACCAAAAAATTCCAGCCGAAAACTGTGCAAAAGCTGGTGGTAAGTGTAAAACGCAAAGTGTGTGCGTTCTCACGTACAAAACTTCACAAACTTTCTTAAGTGAAATTTAAGAATATTAATATATGTACTTTCAAAAAATATATAACATTCAATATCGAAATACGATAGCTAAATAAATATCCTTTAAAATGTCCGCGCAGATTTTTTCTGGCACGTGTCTTAGTGCTCTAATTCGATGTTGAAGTTTAAAAAATTACATTAAAAAACGCTAATATATGCCATTTTCTTAAAGCATCAAAGTTTACATTTAAAATCAATCGTTTAGAAAGTCTTTTTTAAATTATGCGACCCGGTTTTATTTTTGTCAAAATTGAATTATATTTAAACTAAATGTTTTAAAGAATATATTTTAAATATTTTTAATTAGTTTTTTAAAAATTAATTTAAGATATTGCTTTTTAAATGTACAAAAGTTGACTGACAAATAGGGATTGGAACAATTAAATGCACTTAGATCGACTGACAAATAGGGTTTGGCGCCATTAAATGTACATGATTTGGAACAAATGAAAAGGATTTTAATTATAACCTAGTATGAAAAAGATGGCGAATATTAGCTTTTTTTATTGTAATTTTTTAAACTTCAACATCATATTAGAGCACTTTATGTTGATTTTCAGACCCGTGTTTTTATACGATTCTTAATCAGCATAAAATTCTCTGTCACAATAAACAATAAAAAAAAGGGAAGGGGGAGAAACTGCATTAGCGCCGTTATTAAAAACCTGTCCAATAAACTTTTAAGAGATTAATCCACTTCGATTACAGCCTTCAAAGCTGTAATCGAAGTGGAATGTAAAGATTTAATTGTTATCACAGGTGTTGCTACTATAAATTATGTTAAGAGATTGTAATCAGTTATATTATAAATACCAGTTACACCACACGGTTCACACCCCACTTTTAATTTTTTTAATTAGTTAAAAGTTTTGTTTTTATTTTTCATAATAAAATGCATCATGTTATAGCTATTATTGTTATTATTTTTACCATTGTTTACATAATTTTCATTTATATGAATTATTTTAGGCAAAAGTAATATTACAGATTGAATTATATTGTAAGCCTGAATGAACTTTGAACTTTTGAAGTCTACCATTATTTTACTTATTCATATTTAAATTGAAAAAATCTTCTATGGATGAATGTTGTAGCTTGTAATAGATAAATACCCCACCCCGACCCATTTTCTACATTTTACCCGCCCTCATAGCGCTCCTTCCTTTTCCCTTCCCGGTAAGATTTGCAGCCCCAGTCCGCGTCTGGATATCAGAAAATCGAGAAGGTCATTATTTGCTCTAGTTAATAATTGACAACTCGTAGCAATTTATGTAGTATAAATGTATATATGTATATATACATATATATATATATATATATATATATATATATATATATATATATATATAATATATATATATATATATATATATATATATATATGTATATATACATATATATATATATATATATATATATATATATAATATATATATATATATATATATATATATATATATATATATATATATGTATAGATATGAATATATATATATATATATATATATATATATATATATATATATATATATATATATATATATATATATATATATATATATATATATATATATATGTATAGATATGAATATATATATATATATATATATATATATATATATATATATATATATATATATATATATATATATATATATATATATATATATATGTATATGTATAGATATGAATATATATATATATATATATATATATATATATATATATATATATATATATATATATATATATATATATATGTATATATATATATATATATATATATGTATAGATATGAATATATATATATATATATATATATATATATATATATATATATATATATATATATATGTATAGATATGAATATATATATATATATATATATATATATATATATATATATATATATATATATATATATATATATATATATATGTATATATATATACACTTACTAAAGCGTGTTTCGATAAGTACTTGCTCACTTTTTCTGCTTACCTTAAGCTATACCGTTTTTTTCGAAAAAAAAGAAGAAAAAACGAAGAATGATGAATGAAACGATTGCTTCCCCATTCCAAACCCTCAGTCGATGTAGCAGCACCCCACTGCGAGAGAGAGAGAGACAGAATGTCGTGAATATGTGGTAACTGTATGATGTGTCTTTATTGTTTTGTCGTTATGAAACACTTAGCGATAGATTTCGAAGTTTAATTAACTCTTTGATAGAAAAAAAACATTTTTTTTGTGAAATAAAAAAGAGAAAAAAATCATTCCTTTAGTTTGTTTGTTTTGTTTTTTTTTCTCGTTACTGTTTCCAATTTTTTTTAACATTAAAACTATAATTTTTGAAATGATACCATTTAAACTATTTTGAAGTAAATAAATTGCAAAATGTCTTGTTTTGAAAAAAAACGATTTTTAAAATGTTCGTCTTGAATCAATCGATGTAGAACATTTTTTAAACATTTTTTTCAATTATATTTATTGCCAGTTTTTGGATTTGTTTAATGGCATTAATATTTTTGATTTCTTAACCATTTTTAAATCAAACAAAGTATCAAAATATGGAAAAATCTGATTAACATTAAAACAAAAGTTTTGAAATTGTTTGAATAAGTTATAAATTAAAAAAACAGCGAATTTGTTTGCTTAAAAAGTAAAAGAACCCAAACTAAAACAAACATATTTGTTTTAGTTACATGCAAGAATAACTAAAATTAAATAATTCAAATTTATTTTCTTCAGTTTTTACTAATATTTTCAAATTTGTTTTAGTTTGATAAATGAACTGAAATATTATATTATTAATTCTAACTCCTACAAAATAACTGATTAAAAATAAAAACATTATGTAAAGTAAAACAAAACAGGTAAAAAACTAAAAAACTTCTCTAAAGACGAGATTCTCTTTCTATTCTATCTCACTAAAGATAATGATTTTCTTTCAATGAATAATTTGTTTGTAAGCAATTGTTATCGTATAGCAAAACTCTAAAAAAATTTAAAATATAAACAGTATTGCTAAAAATTTAAACTATAACGCTGTATAATTATTAGGCGTTTGCAATCATATTTTAACGCGAAGACTTACTTTGTCTCTATGTTTGTAAGGATCTTAACTACTTATTAGCTTACCTAATAAAAAGGTTGATATCAACTTAAAGACCTTGGCCTAACACTGTTGTTGTCAGGCCAATCTTTACACAGTGTGTAACATTGTTTTCATAAAAATGATATCAACAAAAAAGGATAAATTGCACTCTTTATTACTAAAAAGCTGTATTGAACGAAGAATTTGCCAAGTTTCTGGCATTTATTCAATTTTCTTCTATTTTGCCAAAAAAAAAATTTGGCATAATGGAGAAAGGCATTAAATGTAAGAGTCTCACTATTCCTCATTATCTCACTTATTTACATACTCTCCTTTTCATACATTATTACTTTATAATAACTAGTATATAACTTTAACAACTAATAGATAATTATAATAGCTATTAAATAATTATAATAAACAATTATGATAACTAATAAATACTAACTATATATATACTAACTATATATAATAAATAAATAAAAAAAATAAGTAGTAATTACTAATTAACTTAATGAAATTTTAATTACTTTAACGTATACTTTTTATGAGTACTAGTTTTAGATAACGTGCTCTAAGCCAAGTCAAGTAGATTCTAAGTCAAGTAATTTATATTTGTTTAGTAGTTAAGTTAGGGACTATGTAAAAAAATTTTCTTTAACTTTTATAAAAATTTAGGAAATCCTTGAACCCCTCAATAAACCCTCAGCCAGCATATTAATTGTATAATGAACCTCTTTAAATGTCTTACTATTTTAACAATAAACCTAAGGTTGCCCTACTATTTTTAACATTTACAACAGAATTTTTTTTTTTTGTTTGTAAATGTACACAATATCCCATCAGTTATTTGTTTTTACTTTTTTCCATTAAAGTACACAATTCCCTATTGATTATTTGTTTTTACTGTGTTCATTAAAGTACACAACTGCCAGTTGTTTTCTTCAAATATAGTTTTAAAGCACAGTTTGAAAGGAAAAAAAAGGAAAAAAGTTTGTTATAACCCCTCAGTTTTCAATTCAATGTATTATGCATTTATAAATTCACCTTGAATGCATAGTTCAAAAATTGTTCTTGCAATAAGTTTTTTTCTATTTAAAGAGCCTAGAACTTAATCTTAAAATTGGAAGTATTTTTTTTTTTCATTTAATGGTATTTTTCTAACATCTTCCAAAAATATATTTAAAATTGTTAAATGATAAAATTTAAAGGTTTTTTTATTAATATTTTTCATCGTATTGTGTTTAAAATGTAATAATGAAAAAATAAAAATGTTCATTCAATTAAAAACAAATGTAACGTTTTTTATGATGTAACAATTTAAATGGCGATTATACAATCAACAAATAGATTATAACCTGCATACTGCTCCTCAAACATTACTTAGAGATATCTGACAAAGCTGTTGATTGCTTCATGTAGTTTGATTACAAAGCGCATTAACAGATGCGAAGAAAAAGATTATAAAGAAAGATTACTAAGTAAGTTTACCCGTTGCGAATAAAAACAAACAAAACAATTTAAAACGTATAAATTAAGAATATTTTGGCTATAATTGCAAAATTGACTGATATATTCTTCAAAATGCCCAGACCAAGAAAAAGTTCTTACGAGGTAGACAAGCCGCCATATAGTTACGTAGCATTGTGTGCAATGGCTATTCATAGTTCACCTTACCAAATGATGACGTTAAGCGATATTTACAAATATATAATGAACAAGTTTCCTTTTTATCGTAAAAATAACAAAAAGTGGCAAAATTCTCTCAGGCACAATTTATCATTTAACGATTGTTTTGTTAAAATATCAAAGACATCAAAACCTGGTGGAAAAGGCAATTACTGGACTATGCATAAAGATTGCTTTGAAATGTTTAATGAAGGATCTTTTTTAAGACGAAAAAAACGCTTCACATTGTATGAAGATGACTACATTGCCAACGTAGTTAATAAAGTATCAAGTTCAAGAGATGGTACAGAAAGACTGTTTTCAAAAAGTTCAACAAATATGAAAGAACCTTCTCAGAGGTGGAAGTCGTTTAACATTGAAGACATTTTAGACTTAAAAAAGAATCAACAAAACAAAAGCGATTATTGCATTAATGACTATTATACTAACAATGAACAATTAATAAAAGAATACTCAAACCAAACCTTTTCACGTTTATGCGTTTATCCTAAATTCTTTGGACCAAGCTTACCCATTCTATGCTATAAATGCCCATTAAATAGTCCAACTAATTTAGTCAGTTTACGAAGCTCACAGGATTTAGAACGAGTAAGAAATTGACGATTTATAATATAATCAAATATAATAGACAATTTTTGAATGTCTAGAATATATCTGAGCAAAATTTTTTTTGCGCCATTTTGAAAATTATTTTGTTTATAAATTAAACATGCTTGTAATTATGTTTTAATAAAAAAAAATTTAATTAAAATGAAAATTTCATTGTTAGTTGTAAAATAAAAGACTTTTAATTTGTATAAAAAATCTTATTTAATATAATTTTAAACTACTTGTATGTACCCATTACATGTACTACTAATTTGTCTAACTTATTATATGTACATAATACGCATTTGTCAAAGTTAGTAAAAGGATCTAAGGTTAAATTTCGAGTGGATTTAACTGGAAAGAGCTTGTTAAGTTATTATGTTTTCTCAGGAATACTTCATAGTTAAAAAGTTTAATAAAAAGTTGTACTGATTGATATTTTTATAAAAGTAATATTGATATGGCAAAAATTTTTATGGTAAAAGCGATCATGGGGTAAAGGTGATCATAATGGATGGGGTTGGTTTGATTTAATTTAATATTTTTCATAATTGTTAAAGTTGTTTTGTCAAAACTTAGTATTCTAAACAATGTTTAGAAAAACAAAATACGTATTAATACGTTTCAATACGTGATTTAAATTTAAACCTTGGTATTTTCTCGGTTTTATTTTTTTCTTACTTTCTTTTCTGTTTTAACTGTTATAGTATATTCCGTGATTAGCAAAATGACCATTTTAGTTGGTCACCGGTTTAGAGTATATTTATATTGTTGTATAGGGCATTTTAAGGGTATACTTTTTAAATAACTTTAATCTTGTTTCAAGAAGGTGTAATTCCAGAATTTGTGTGATAAAAAGAGTTAACTCTTTTTATACCCTAATTAGGGTGCTAACAGCGCAGAGAGTTTTTCCTTAAGGTAAACTTTTTTATGTACTACTAATTCAACAGCTATTTGTTTGATAATGGAGATAACGGAAAGTTTAATAATTTTATTGTTGCTCAAATATGCTTTTTTTTACAATAAAAACAACAACACCTTTTTTAAAACAAACACAAAACGTTATCATAATTCTAAAATGCCTAGACTCTTATTAATTTGTTCAAATGCACAAAGCTGCATAAAACTACTTAAATCTCTCTATTTTTGCTTTTTTTACTATTATTGCTTTTCATATATAATAAATTTTTAAACAACCTAATAAAATAACTATAAATTAATAATTTAAACTAATAATAAAAAAAAAAAAACTTGTACAAAATATTCTAATTTTTTTTTAAAAAAAAAAATTTTTTTAAGATTTTATAGTTTTAAGATCCTTTATTAGAAATATGTGAACTTTTTGAGTATTTTTAGATTTTGAAATAAAATACAAAGTTTTCGATTTTTATCATATGATTAGGTTTGATTTTAAAGTACATTGTGTACAAAGTACATACATAAAAAGGTGATACAACAGTCAGAGGCGGATCTACAAATAAAATGAGGGGGAGGGGTGCGTCCTTCGAAAATATTGTCTCTGGCTACAGTATGTACTTTTAAGCGATTTTTTTTTTTAAATTAAAAAAATTATATAATGCTCATTTTGTTTTACAGTTTTAAATTAAATAATTAAATGATAATGACGTTCAACACTGTTTAACGTCATTACACTTACTCTAAAGCATTAACTGTTAAAACATCAACTTACTGTTTAAAACAGTACCCTACGGGCATTTTTTTTTTAAAGTTACGTTCTAAATGTCTTTTAAACGTTTTTTAAAAGCTCTTTACGTTAGAATGTTTATAAGACGTTTAAAAGACATTTTAAATTTCATTTAGAACGTAACTTTTAAAAACAAATGCCCGCTGGGTAAGTTGATGTTTTAACAGATTCAGTAATACTTCTTATTGTTTTAGTTATAGCTAAAGAAACTGGACTGTACTTTTTAACTTTTTGTATTCAAAATACCTTACATGGTTCAAATTAATAACAATTTTCTTTACTTATTAAATGTTGTGTAACATTACAACAATAGATAAAAATTTCTAGAACCTCAGCGATTTAAAACACCTCTATCAACATCATCAAGTATTCAATAAACAAACTTTTATTTAAAACTTTTGAATACTTCCTAGATTAATAACCCAAAGAAAAGATTGAGAAAACTTGAAAATTTAGCTAAATTTTTATATAATCAGATTTTAGAATACATTAGTGAATGTAACACGTATGACCTAAGTGAAGGAAAATCAAATAACCTCTACAATAAACTAAAAAGGTCAATATTTGCTGTCGACGTGTTGCTAAAGAACTTTGAGGTAATTTGCAGTCAATTTATGAGCAGCCATGGCGCAGTGGTTAGAGTTCTGGCTCAGAACCAAGAAGTTCCAGGTTCGACGCCAGCTTTAGCCCAACAAACGACATTGGTAGGGAAGGAGGCGTGAACTTCTTGATAAATGCTCTCCCGCGGTGCTCTATGATAAGACCGTAAGGACTTCTGGGAGCACCTAAAATAACTACAAAAAAAAAAGTTTAATCATTCGATAATTACACCCAAGTACTTAAAATACTTTCAAAGAATGCTTTTTTAAAGCAATTATTGTATTGCAATACCAAATCAGTGCTACAGCAGTGGTCAACAATACTTGAAAATATAGACATGTCTTAGAAGTTATGTTTGATAAAGTTAGAACATATAAATCTGCTCAAAAGCATTCTGAAAATTATTTATTCTCGTTCTTAAAAATGCCATCATTTACAGCATCTGTTTTTTATGAAAGTACGGAGATTTTTACCGCATTAGCCGTAATTCCTAACAATAACAACTCCTCAAAAAAAAAGACTTTCTTTTCTGTGGAAATTCTTTGTATTGAAGATATAGGTGTTAAAATAAGGATGCTACTTTTAACACGAGTAAATAAAAGATACTTCTCTAAATTATGCGAGTCAAAGCAAACTAATTTTAACTCAACAGCTACATTAACCATCTTAAAATCAACTTAAGCATAAATTACTAGTAATAAAAATCAAAATCTTTAAAAACCTTGTTGTGATCATTGAATCAAAGCTCTTATTAAAAGCAGAAATTCAAATAGCTTTATCTACCAATAATTACACGATATGCCCTCACTCGAAACATTAATAGACAATAGCATTCACTCTCTTCTCAACCTCAATTTCAGGATTTGTTTTGTTGATATAAGAATTCATAACTCTTATTACTGTGAGACAACTGTTACTAATGTAAGATCCCTTCTACGTGTTATATACAATTTGTACGCCCATACATTCATTCAAATACCATCATCTTTATATTGACGAGTAGTATTAAGTCCATTACATTTAGCAATTTAAAAAAATTTGTTTTGCACCACACAATTTTATTAAAATTTTCTTTTAAAATCAATATTTAGTCTTTCAAATGACTGAGTAGTTTTCATAAGTTCTGACTATGGAAGTGTGCAAAAAGACGTTTTTTATTTTTAACATACTCAACAGTTGCCGGCCACAAATTTCGCGTCAATAACTAAAAATGGTAGGTTCCAAGTACAAACAAAAGTAGTCAGTCTGGTGACACCTAATTAACACTATAAAGTGTGTAAAGATGAAAAAGTAGTTAAGCTGACTGCTGAAAATAACATACGAATTAAAATATTAGGTGCAGTAATGTTTTTTTTTTCAGTATACAACTTCAAAGCAGTGACAAGAAAACTCGATTTCTTGTCACTGCCTCTTTTATTGGTCTTGATCTTATTTTCAATGATTTTGTTAAACATAAAGTCTTAAAAAACTTAAAGAGTATATAGTAACAAGTATAAACAGTTTCAGAATTTGTTTTTGTTATAGCTATACTATTTTAATAAAAAATTTATATTCGTATATGCACAAATTCTTCAGTATTCAGACATATCATCTTCACCACTTTTATACATCATATCATCTACAGGACCTTTATGTTTGTTGTAAATACTGCAAACATAAAGTATTTACAATGCATTTATATTTTAATGATGTTTTGAACGGTGCTGTTATCTGTCTCTATGGTGCTACTCTTTTTTCTTTTTTTTTTTAATTTTTTAACTAAGGAAGATGCAATGAATACTTTATCTCAAAAGTCAGCAAGTAACAGTGGCGAAGACATAGAGGAAGCTTTTGTACCAGAAATTAATTTTTAGTCTCACTTTACTAATCACAGTGAGCTAGGCGATTTAAAAATAGATTTTGATCAGACTGAGTCTGGAGCTGAACTTTTACGATCAAGGTTGATTGAATGGAATCTACTAGGCGAAGACTGCAAGACATTTGTGTACCAAAAACGGCATAAAGAACTTGAAATATATTATGACTTATGTAATGGTCTATGTTATTGTAAAGATAAAACTGGTTCGTTTATTTCTCTGAGACTTGGGCATAATTCTGTGCAATGGCAACTGTTCATAGATTGCTCAAAACGAAGTTTAAGAGCAGTGTTGATCCACAATTTAAATAAATATCTTTGCCTATTGCACTCGGTACAGAAAAAAAAAGTTTATTGACATGGTAAAATTGTCAAACTTTTTATTTATTGAAATAAAACCACCAAAATTCCTTAAAGACAGACCAATTATTGCCGGAATAAACTCATCAATATCTTATTTAAACCAGTTTTCATATACAATTTTGTTTCCAATTGAAAGGAAACAAAAAAGAAATTCGTAAAAGATGACTGCGATTTTCTCAGAAAAATCACAAATTCGTGTAATGATATGTGAAATTGTAAACCTCTATACCATTATTCCACATTATCTCGGGTTAGAAGTCTTAAAACTCTGAATTAATAAATACACTCTTAAGCCGAATAATTCTTCAAAGAACCCTTACGGGTTCTTCGCGTTGACGCTCGTGGAGCACCCGCAGAGGTTCTTCAAAGAACCCATTAAGAGGGTTCTTCGGAAGAACCTTAAAGTAAGGTTCTCTAAAGAACCTTTAAAGGTTCTTCGCGTTGACGCTGGTAGAGCACCCGTAGAGGTTCTTCAAAGAACCATTTGAAAGGGTTCTTTGGAAGAACCTTAAAATACGGTACTTTAAAGAACCCGTCATAGTTCTTCATCGAACCGTTCATTGTTTTTGACGTTGC